GGTGCAGGGGACAGGCAGTCCCTCTGGGGGCCCAGGCTGTGGGGACCATGGGGGCAGGTGTGAGTCCTATCAGAAAGCATGTCACCCAGCAGACTCAGGAAGGGAGGGGGCTCTGGAGGGGGGTTAGAGAGGCCAGACACTGGGGGGTGAGCTCTGCAGAGAGGGGGAGTCCATCTTAAAGAGGCACGTCAGCGTCACAGGGTTAGAGCTTGGTGCTAGGCTACTGGAGCCCGGGGGCAGGAGGGGAGAGTAGCTTGAGCCAGGGGCACCTAGATCCTAGTGCTGCAGACCCTCTGTGGCCACTCCCTCGACCTCTCCCTCCCCTGGGGCACCTCCTTCTTCAGACTACACCTGAAGAAACAGCCCACTTTGGCTCTGGGAGTGAAGGTCCCCCAGTCCCCTCCCAGGCCTGCTGGGGCTGGGGGTCAGCATTTGGTGCCCTGCCCTCTTGGGGGTGGACAGCTGTGGGAGTGCAGGCCCTGTGACAGAAGGCCCATGCCCAGAGGCAGAAGAATAGAGCCCCAGGATCCAGCGGGAGTTTGCTGAAGGCTTCTGGGGCGATAATTGGGCAGCGATTAAGTGTTCCCAGAGCAGCTGCTATTGCCTGTCACCTGTCACCTGTCACTGCAGGACCTGCAGTTCAGAGCTTCTGCAGACGTGGTGAGGGGGCGGGGACTCCTTTGCCACCAGCTTTTGTCCTTGTGCTGTACTGACCAGAGTATGCACTCCACCCACAAGGTCTGCCTGGGGCCACCTGTCCAGCTCTTCGGTGGTCAGGGAGGGGTGTGAGTGCCATGCATCTGAACACGCGGCATCCTCCCTGGACCACCTGGAGCACTGCCTGCCCTGTCCAGGCCTGGCCCCCGGGGGGACTGGCCTTCCAGACCAGCACGCAGGGCTCCATGCCTATGGCCATCCCAATCTTTGCTCCCTCACCCCAACCTCCCACTCTGGGAAGCCTGTCTTTGGCTTTGACCTAGGGTCAGAGTAGAGAGGGGAGCTAGAGACCTCTGGGGGTTAGAAGCCTGAGAGCCATCCACCCAGGGCCACATGGTCAGGCTTTTAAACATGGAGGGCTAGCCCTGGTCACTGAAGCACTGGCTCCCACGCTCAGAAACACAGGACCGGTCTGTGTCCAGCTGATTCATCAGCCCAACCCATCGACACAGTCCTTTGGTCCCCTTGGGGACCCTTGCCCAGACCAGACATCTCAGGGTCAGGCACAGGACCTGCGGCCTCCTCCTCTGGGAATCCTCGGTGTGAAGACTCAGGGTCCCTGTTCTCGCAGCTTCTCTGCCTGCTCTCCCTCCCAGCTCGGAGGTGCCCCTCCGCCCTCCCTTCTCTGCCCGCCCACTTGCCTTTAATTAGAAATGCCAGGAGAGCCATTTTTGGGGAGTTTTTTTTTTGCCAGAAAGACATTCCCTCAGGGGCGGAAGCCCAGGGGGGAAAGGAGGAGAAGGCTGGCTGTGAGGGGGGCTGAGGCTCCAGAGACAGGGGGTGGGGGCAGTGGGTTCAGGCAAGGCATGGAGATTGCAGCCAGTGTGTGAGCAAGACAGCGTGGGGCATGAGCGTGTACGGGGCTCTGAGTGGGGGGCATGAGTGTGTACATGGGTGCTGAGTGGGGGGCATGAGTGTGTAAGTGGGGCTCTGAGTGGGGGGCATGAGTGTGTACGTGGGTGCTGAGTGGGGGCGAATGCTGGGGGTTTCTGAGTGGGGGGCATGAGTGTGTAGTGCATGAGTCTGAGAGAGGGAAGGGACTAGCAGCGGGGATAAGGTATCCTGGTTGTCACTAAGCATCTGTGGCTCTCTGAGGTGGTATTAGTGTGTCACCTGCTTCTAGGTAACATCAGAGGATGTGAGAACCACACTAACCCATCCTGCATTGGAGTAATCCAGAAAGGATGTCCCTCCCCCACGGCACTGCGGTTGCCAGGGAAGCGGAAGGGGCCTCCCTCCCGAGGGAACCGCAGCTTCCGGAGCCCCATTCCTTATATGGTTCTTGCTTTCCTCTGCATCTCTGTGCTGCCAGCATCCCTGCCCCTCCTCCCTGCCCCTCCTCCTGTTCCATCCTCAGTCTTGCAGCTTCTGGACAGGTTATGGCTGTGACCTGGGGCTTTGGGGTCAGCACTTTGGGAGGCTGAGTGACCCCGCATCTCTTCCAACCCTCATCCCTTATCCCCAGGTAGCAACTTCCAGATCACCTGGAGGCCCAAGTAAAATCTGCACCAAAGACCTGGCTGCGGGCACTGTGCAGTCCTGTTCAACCATGGCCACACTGCTGGGTGTCACACAACTGGTGCCCAAGCAGACTGCCTGGGTGCATGTCTCACACAGAGCTGAGAGGACCAGGCCAGCACCTGGACTCAAGGAAGTGGGGGCAGGGACGGACAGGAGTGTGTGTATGTGTGTGTGTGTGTGTATATACCACTGAACCCGCAGGTGAGGACGGGGGG